CAAGAAAAAAAATAGAAAATTCAAAACCAAGACATTTTGCTGATGAAATAACAATAACAGGAGGAGGAAGAAGAGGATGGTTCATTCCCCTCAATCTCTTTGGCCTTTCCTCTGCCTTCCATATTAGATTTAGGCTCTTAAATTTTAACTATTGCTAAAATGCTGTCTATATAAGCTACGCTTTGTGAAGTATTGTCATTATTTGAAGGCAATGGCTGTTTTGCAAATCTGCAGACAGAGTACTCTTTTGATGCACTTTTAGTCCCTGTCAGATCCAGGAGTCAGCTTTTTGGTGGCTGGGATGGGCACAGGAGGTCTGCATTTACAGTTTATTTAGGAATGTTGTGGCCATGATACTGTTGAGTCATATTTGTGGGCTTGGCAAAGACTTTAGTGGGTTTCTTTGCTTTTTAAAACTATTTGATTCTAGCTGGATGTTAGGAAAAAAATAACTCTAAGAGTAGTTTTACAGTGGAAGAAATTATTAGGGAGAGCTCCTTGCTGATGGAGGTGTTCAGGCTGAGGTTGGACATCTACTTGGCATAGATGCTTTACTTCAAGTTCTTGCACATGTATTCCAGCTCTGTGGTTTTGGAAATTATTTTAAGTCTGTTTTGGCCTTATAGTATACTTTTAGGTGTTTGATGTCAAATTGGCAGGAAAGTATGCAGCTACTTTTCAGCAATTATGGTTGGGGAGGAGGCTGCTAGGGCCACTGAAAAGGGGTATGAGAATTAAACGTGGCCAGCTCCTCAGGCTGTCCCCATTGAATGAAAAGATTGTGCACAGTCAGCCTAGGGAAGAACAGTCCTAGAAGCTCTCTTGCCAGTCCAGTAATATTGAGCCAGGTGATGCATGAATGGTCTGATGCAGTAGAATGTGTCCTCACATCAGTGGACCACTTGTGGAGAGGGTCCATATTTAAATACGTCCTTATGGCAATTTTCATCATTTGTTTAATGGTCATTATGCCAATGATGTAAATCACCACGGGTGTCATAAAATTAACAACAATTTTACTACTTCATCCAGATGATTTTGAATGCGGTGGATTTGTCCATTGTTTCCTGAGGATGTCCAGATGGAAATTTGCATCTGATGTCTGTTAAATGAAGTCTGTTAAATCAAGGTTTTGCAGTGCTTTCATATTCAGATTTTGAGACTCCATTTTAAATGGACTTAGAAATGAATATCTAGCATGCGTTCACTTGGGTCAGTATTGAGCTTTAATGTGGTTTATTTGGTTTTTTGCTTAACACGATTTGTGAATCTAGGTGACAGATATTAAAATAAACCATGGCTTAACACAATGTGTAATCCAACCATTGTAGAAACTTGACTTCCAAACTGGAAATTTTATTTGCTAAATTGTGCAAGGTGTGGTAACATAGATGAGCAAATGTTGGCAATAGTTGTTTATTTTCCAGACAATCTTTACAGAGTTTGAGAGAAAGGGAAAGATTAAGGGTTTAATATACATTTTTAAATTGAAAAACTGCTATTGTTAATTTATGTGATGTGTGAAATTAAGTAACTGTGATGTACATTTTCTTAGAAAAGATAGTTTCTTGTATGAATATCCTGTGTTATAAGTTACTAGAAGCTACTGATTTTTCAAATAAACACATCTCTTTTATAAAAAACAGAGAGATAAATGCCCTCCTGTTATATGACTAGCCTTTGCACCAGACAGAAAACAAATTTCCAGGAATCTTTCAGAGTTAGTAATTTTTAGCATATCCTTTTAAAAAGAAAAACCTGGAGGCTTTGTACTTCCAGCTGTATTTCTCTGTAGAGTTTAATCTGTTCTTAAGGTTTATGGCATGATGTCAGATGACTGCTGACCAGTTTGGACTAGGAGCTCTGATTTCCACAAAATTATTTTAAAATCTGTCATGGAGTGAAGTACGGTTATTTACCCTGAAAATGTTTACATAATTTTATTAAAATTTCTTCTTGGTTTCTCACAATATTATTCAAATGCTTCTGCTTGAGAAACCCCCTTCAAATCTTTGGATTTCTTTTTAGTAATGTGTTATGACCTTCAGAATGTCCAAGAGAAATGTTGTAAGATTTATCTAGATTCTTCTGATGAATTCCTGTGATAAGATTCTGAAGAGTTCTCCCAGCGCTGTGTGTGTGTGTGTGTGTGTTTGTACAGTTTCTTCTTAAATCTTTCCGCTTCTTCCTAAATCCATGCCCAGCAGATGATAGTAGATGCTAACTGATCAGTTGCATGCCTTGGATTAAGGGGAACAAGTTCTAGGGAAATCTAAACTGGTGGTCACCAGTTATGGATCCAAAAGAACCATTGCTGCCTGCTAGATAAAGATGCAGAGGAAGGGGTGAACTTTTGGGTTTGCTGCCACTAAACTAGCATAGGCCAAGTCAAGGGCTAGAAAAGCAGTGTCCCAGGCTGATGATCTCATTGCTGAACCTTGCTGAGGGCCTGTTAAAACTTGTTGCTGGTTTGCAACAAGATGACAGAAAGTTATTCAGTGGACTTCGTTTATATACAGTGGTACCTCTACTTACGAACTTAATCCGTTCCGTGACTCTGATTGCAAGTTGAGTTGGTCGCAAGTCGAAGTAAATTTTCCCATAAGGTTCAATGTAATTACCGTTAATCCGTTCTGGCGTCCGCGGACCACGCGTCAGGGGCGGAAAAACGGCTGCTGACCACGCTGCAGGGCGGAAAAAATGGCCGCGGACCATGTGCCACGAGCAGGAAAATGGCCGCGGACCACGTGGCACGGGCAGAAAAATGGCCGCAAACCACTTGGAACAGGCGGAAAATGGCTCGTAAGTCGAGGCGAATTCGTAAGTAGAGGTAAATTTTTGGGGCTGGACCTGATCGTATCTCGAAAATTTCGTAAGTAGGGGCGTTCGTAAGTAGAGGTACCACTGTACTGTCCAAATGACAAAAGCTTTTAGATTGGTTACAGGTATAAAAGGAACAACAGCAACAAAAACGAAAGTCAAAACAAAGCTGATGTAAAAGTAACTTTTTTGAAGAAACCAAGTCAGTTAAAATGTAAAATGGGAGAGGAGGACTATGTGGTTCTCTCCCTGAGGAGGGACACTAAGTGGTTTTTTTTTTTCCCCCTCCCTTGGTAGCCATTATTTTGGGCAGTGATACTCAGAGAGGAGCCTCTGTTAGCCCAGATATGAATTTACAATTCTAAAAATGGCTTAGAAGTTCAGAGACTCTTGATAGTATTTGTCATGTTAAAATAACACACTTTGCATCTTCAAGCACATCACCATTTAAAACGTTAAATGAGTTGCTTAGCGGTAGGGTGGTTTTTTTATTGATTAGAGGATGAACCAGGATGCCGTGATTGACTGAGCTGTAGGATGGGAAGAAAGTGAAAAAGGGGTCTCCTAGAGTTGATAAACAAGTAAAAATTGTTGATACCATATGTAATATAAGGAGAAAAAAAACATACTCGATTCAGGAAACAGTATCTAGAAATTGGCTGCTTAATCTGAAAGATCCGAGACAAGGTTTTCTGTTCTATTGTATAATAGAGTGAAATGTGAATGTAAAAATGTTTCTCCATAATTAACTTGTCAAGGATATGTGCGACATTTTACAAGTTTTTGGGAATCACAACAAAAAGCTTTAAAATATAACAGATAGAATATTTTATTTGCAAAATTATGGAAATAAGACTACAAAGTTTGTTTCTCTTTTATCTACTGTAATGTTATACTGAAAAAACACTACTTGCTGCCTCTATCTCTAAATTTTAGCCTGAGCTATGAAAATGTTTAGTGAGATTTTTCAGAAGAAATGCAATTTTATTTCATTTAGATGGAATATGCTGATTAACTGTCAAATATACTTTTACCACTACTAGATACATTTGTATCCTGAAGAATATGGTGAGTGGTATAGAAATTTATTTTTGAAACATACTTAGTGTATGTGTGTGCATGTGCACATGTGATTGTTCAGTCTTTAAAACGCATGCTTATATAATTCAGGGTCTGTTTTTTAAATCTGTAGTTATTCTTATCTGAGCTCCTGAGATCAAGCAGTTTAGTGTTGTGTATTGAATACAGATTATGCACAAATTAGCATAAAGAATAAGATGCTAACACTTGTTTCTTATCTCCCTTATTTTAGATGTTATAGCAGGTTCCATAATTTGTAGAGATGAACAATTCTCTTATAAGTGACTGACTTTCTAGCCTTGAGATAGTCTTTATTTATTAAACTTGGTTGAGTATAAATCTTGACTCTGAGCAGAGGCAAGGCAGTAGATCGGTATCAATGTGGTTTTGGTTGTTAAAGTTTTGTAGGACTCAGGTTGTTGTTCACTAAAACTGTTGCATTGGGAGGGTAAGAAACTGCAGAAGACTGGTGAATGGAGTCAACTAGTTGAGAGGCATGTATGATAACTTGTCTTTTTGTTTCCATGTTTGTGTTTTATCTTCGATATGATTAGGCGCGCGAGAGGCAGCAGATAGCACCGGAGCTGAGATTAGTGACGGATAACGAGCCACATGAAGTGAGTTTTGTGGGATTGTGGAAGGAGAGGGAGGGTTCTTGGCACGCAGGAAGCAGAAGCTGAGGAGAAACCATGAAAACCTGATGTGGCCAAGACCAGCAGAAGAGGTGACAATAGGTGGAAAACCAGAGCTCTGAGAGAGAGGGGCAGAACTGTGGTAGAGCCTTGGAAGGTGAGAGCAATCAGTCCAGTGGGATTTGGGTGAGCTAATGGATGAATAATGCTTCAGGTGGGATCAAGAGCCGTTTTGTGTGTCTATGTGTAGTGGACAAATATCACATCTGAAAATGAGTGGCTTATAGTTGCTCAAGGAATAAATGGTGGAGCTAGGAACTTAAGAGGTGGTGGAATGATATTTTAGTTTTGTTTACCCATGTTTAAAGCTGTAAAATTATGAGGTAGGGCTCTAATAAATTGTATCCAGTGGAAACAAATGTTGCAGACCTATTAAGGATTTGGGGATAGCTCATGTAGTTCAGAGATAGCTGTTTGGGTCACTTAAAGTCTGTTGTCCAAAGTGAAAAATAACTTAGAATGTTTAATACAGTTTAACAGTAACAGTGGAGAATTAACCTATAATACATGCAGTTTGTTGGATGTAAATCTGCAGTTTTATAAACATGCAGAAGATGCTGTCCTACTGGTATGATTAAAACAGATGGGATAATAGTGATGAAGTTCAGTAGCCAAATCATCCAAGTTTGATAAATATTTCTTTTAGGAAGTGTGTAAATTTGCAGTTGCTCCACAGAAATTGGCTTCTCAAAAGTTGTTCTTGTCTACTTCTGATGACAAATAACAATTATAAATTGTATAATTATAATTATAAATATTAATTATAATGTTCAAAAGTGTGAATTCCTTCTGCTGCTTCGTAATAGCAAGATTCATGTATCATACATAGTAAGTCAGATATGTGGTTTAAAATTTGATGAATAAGAAACAGTTGGTGACATTTGGCTGGATTTTACCACTACTGTATTTTCAACAGATACCTTTGGTTTTAAAAAATATATATTTTATTAAAAATAGTATGTAGCAGAGTAGGCATAACTAATGAACCTCTGCTGTTTCCGAGTTGCATCAGCTTCACTATCTCTGCTGATTCTTCTCTATTGCATAATAAATCCTGCTGTAC